TTTTTTTATTATTTTTTTTAATTTTCGATGTGTTATAGATTGATATCTATCATCATCAGCTTGTTAAATATAACAATTATTTGGTTACCGTTAAAGATCATGTAGATTTGTTACTTTTAACGTCAGCAGTTGAATGGCTTTTTTTATCGTCTGAATTTAAAAAATGGCGTCCAAAATATAGCTTTGATATATTGGCTTTCACCAAGATTAATCCTGTCGTTTTTAACATAGTACATGTGCTCTATTGAAAACAGCTTTGACATATTGGCCTTGACATCAAAACCGGTTAAAACGGTTTTGACATATTGGCCTTTATGAATTCATTTTTTTTTTTAACAAAGCACATGTGCTCTGTTAAACACGTTATTTGTTTAAATGTTATTACTCTCCGTTTGAAAAACAGTAATTTTTGTTTTCAAATATTATTAAATCTTTTTTTTATACAGTAATACAATAATAAAACAATAATACAAACACAACTCTCGGAATTAGGGTCGACATTCGGCAATGCCGACCTAACTGCCAACCTAAAGTATTTGAGGTTGGCAAAAAATTACCGTCCTCATTTCTATGTTTTATGGTCAGACCTTTGTATCTATTAATTTTTGCCGACCTCAAAAAAATTGAGGTCGGCAAATTATTGCCGACCTCATTTTCCTTAATTCCGAGGGTTGCAAACAACATTCTATTTTGCCCAATGCAGTGTGACCTGCCTAACAAATTAGGGTGACCTACCCAACTAACTTTTCTTTGACTAATTATTGTTGTTGTTTTTTTTTTGACATTTTTGATGTAAAATCAAAAATAACTTAACTAATAAACATTTTTAAGATTTTTTGTAGTTAAACTACTTTTTCTTAATTAATTTTTTATGCTGATTTCAAATTTCATGTTTTCACTTCATTATCAATATTTAGCCTTCTACTTCAATTTTAATAAAAGTGATTATTTTAACAAAGCAATCAACTGTTAAATTAAAGAATAATGCAATCATCAAAGTTCTTTTATGCGTACTTTCAAAATGTATGGCTCTTTAAATTAAAAGAATTGCTCATTTACAACATCATTTGATAAGCTTGCATGCAAGCTAGATAAGTTGAGAAAGAAAGAATTAGAGAGACAGAAAAGCTTAAAAGATATCAATGATGTTTTGTTGTCACATGACTCCATGACAGAAGAGATTCAATTCAGCAGCGAGAAAGAAAAGTCAAACGAGGACTCTGAAATCAGCGAGGAAGATGATTTCCTGGGTAACGGTCGGAAACGCAGGTATAGTATTATTTTAATAACATAGTTGTAATTTTCACAAGCTAAAGCTCTTTTATTGAAAAGTATATAATTATAAATAGGTAAAAAATATTATAAAATGATACCTAGGTACAATTCTGGTGATAGGATAAATCTAGCAGTGAATGTTGAAAAGCTCATTAAATGTATTGCTGTTCCAGCAACAAGGTTCAATGTTGGTGTACGACCTCATCTGGCAATTTTAAGTGAAGTATTTAAAGCTGGAGGTATAGAAATTAATGATATACCGCTTTCACGAAGCACGCTTCATAGAAAAAAGTTCAAATATGTAGAACTTGAAGGAGACTCGGAGTGGATTTCAATATCTAATCATCTTAAAGGCCGACGGCTTATTCTTCATTTTGATACCAAACTGTTGGAACAAATTACCACTGGGCTTAACATTATTCAAAAAATTGAGCGACTTGCAGTCTTAGTGAGTTCCCCGGATGACGATACCATGGAAGACCATCTTTTAGGTGTTGTTCAATGTCCCTCTTCAAAGGGAGTTGACCAAGCAGAACAAGTGCACAATCTTTTAAAATATTACGGATGTAAAGAGCAGATCATTGGTATATGCTGTGATACAAATGCAGTCCAAATTCTTACAGATATTTTGAAATTACCAATTTTGTGGATAATGTGTAGGAGACACATATATGAAGTACATGTATCTCACTATATGGCTGCCCTTACTGGTGAGAAAACTAAAGGTCCATGAAGAGCTCTTTATGTCAAGCTAAAGAACAAGTGGCCTGAAATCTGTGAGAAAGTGAATGAAGTGAAAAATTTATGTAAATTGGACTGGCAAAGAGATGATCTGAAGATTGGCTCTGTTCTTCGCACTGTTGCAGAGGAAGCTAAAACATTTTTGACTAATGCAACTACTGATATAGTGTTTTCAAGGAATGATTATGGTATAGTTTGTAAGCTTGCCTCCTTCTTCCTTGGAGTGGAAGTACAAGATTTTAAGTTCCATCAACCTGGCGCCTGCCATGAAGCAAGATTTTTAGCAGATGCGATCTACATCCTGACTCTTTATATGACTAAAGATATCAGTAATATCTTGACAGAAAAAGAAATGCTGCAGTTGAAGGATGCAAGTTTGTTCATTGCAATTTGCTATGTTCCATGGTTTTTAAAAAGTTTTTTAGGATTTCTGGCTCCCTACAATGATTTGAAAGCTATCCAGACAGCCTATGCATTGAGAAAAGTTAGTAAGAATATTGGAAATGCTTTGCTTTTCAGCATGGGACGCCATATGTGGTACTTAAATCCGCAACTCTGTGTTTTTTCCTTTGGGGATAAAGAAGTTCCTTCTGAAACAAAGCTAAGAATGCTGTTAGCTCTGATTGAGTTTGAAGAGCCAAATGAATTTCAGCGTTGTAAACCATCAAGTGTACAAATTGGAGAGACCACAGAGCTACCTGAGTTGATTTCCGAGCAAAGCTACCTACTCTTCAAACATTTTAAAATATCAAGAGCAAGTATAAAAGAATGGCTTAATAATAGTCTTAATACTATAGATGTTTTTAACCATCCTCAGTTGCTAGATTTTATTGCATGGATCAAAAACATATCTGTTGTAAATGATGGTGCAGAAAGAAACATTAAGCTCATTAAAGATTTTATTTCAGCTACTAGAGATGAAGATCACCTTCAAAATGTACTTTTTGTAGTTAAAAAGTCTAGAAAAAACTTGACTAAGACTATGACTAAAAAGGAGCTTGGGAACTGTTCAAAAAGTTGTATTTTTTGAGAAATGTTTCACCGCAATAAAATCTTAAATTTGCTAATAAATATTAGTTTTCATGTATTTTTTTTGTATTTTCATATTTATAAATATAATCTATCAAGTTAAATAGTAGAAAATAATTAGAAATGATTTATACCCATCTAATTGTTTTGTTTTAATTTTCTAAAATGTGTTTTCTATTAATGTTAAGCTAGCTTAACATTAAAAAAGTAAAACTCAGATTTTACATCTAGCACTTCCTGTCAAAATAAAACCGTCAAATTTTTTTTAGTACTTATTTAGGTCACATAGAATGGGAATCAGTAGAGAGCTTTTTTTTTTTTTTTGGGACACCCTAATAATCAAGGTCTTTACGAATGAAAATTCTCTCGAGCGCTTCGGACAATTTCGAACTGGTATGCGACGGATCTACAAATTATATAGTTCTCCTATAGAAAAACCGGGAAATTGGCAGCCATACTAGAAGTGCTACTTCAGGCGATATGTGTGTAATTTAAGTAACTTTGTATAAAGCTGAAACATGTTTTTTTTTCTAGATGATGTATTGAACGGGAGGCTGAATAAGCACGAATTTCATAAGTGCGAAGCGTTTCAAAAACTAGCATAAGTGCAAACTGGCATATGTACAAATTGGCATAAGTGCGCCAAAATAATTTGCAAACATTGTCATAAATGCAAACTGGCATAAGTGCAAAACAGTTGCAAAAACTGGCACAATTGCTAACTGGCATAAATGCGAAATGGCATAAGTGCGCCATAAAAGTTTGCAAGCATTGGCATAAGTGCGAATTGGCGTAAGTGCAAACTGATAAAAGTGCAAAGCAGTTACAAAAACTGGCACAAGTGCAAACTGGCATAAGTGCAAATTGACCTAAGTGCCCCAAACAAAATTGAAAATACTAATATAAGTGCAGTTTGGCATTTCGCACTTATGCCAATTTGCATTTATGCCAGTTCACACTTATGCCAATGTTTGCAAATTCTTTCAGCCCACTTTTGCTAGTTTGCACTTAGGTTGATTTGCATTTATGCCAATTTTTGCAACGGTTTCGCACTTATGCCAGTTTGAACTTATGCAAGTTTGCACTTACACCAGTTCGCACTTACGCCGATATTTGATATTTGTTACTGATATTTGATATTTGCTGCTGATATAGGCAATATGTTAATTCCGTAAACTCTTTAGCGACTAATTTCTGTGATTTTAATAATTGATACAATAAAATAAACTATTAAAACATTTTTACATATATATATATATATATATATATATATATATATATATATATATATATATATATATATATATATATATATATATATATATATATATATATATATGTATATATATATATATGTATAGATACATATATACATACATACATATATGCATATATACATATATATATATATATATATATATATATATATATATATATATATATATATATACATATATATATATATATATATATATATATATATATATATATATATACATAAATATATATATACATATATATATATATATATATATATATATATATATATATATATATATATATATATATATATATATATATATATATATATATATATATATATATATATATATATATATATATATATGTAAAAGTGTTTTAATAGTTTATATTAGGTACGCGCACTGAAATTTTTAAATTAATCATATAGTACAATGTTATATATCATTAGAAAGGCCTTTAATACAGTATTTTAAAGGTGAAAAAATTATTAAAAACGAACAATTCTAAAAAAAGTTATAACGTTTTTAGTACCAAATTTAAGATATATGGAATTGTTGAAGAAACTGTGGTCAAAATAATTATTTTTTTCACTTAAATTATTATAACTTTGTCAATTTTTATCCAAATATCTATACCTTGGTATCAAAAGATAGGTGCACTAATGGGCTACAAGTTCATATAGGTGCCTGGACGTAGGGTGTATCTTGGGAGCCAGAGGGGGTAATGAAACACCATCTAACCCTTAAGAAAATACAAGTTTTTGTCAAAAATAAGCACTTTTTTAATGTAATTGTTAGATTTTATACATAAAATATTGCCATAACTTGATTCCAGAACACTGCCAAACAAAATAAGGTGATCTTAGAGTTGGCCGTAGATGTGGTTATGATGTTATAACACCCTGATACAATAATCATACATTCTAATAAATAATTTAATCTTTATTACAGTAATTAAATATTTTCTTAAAAAGTAAAAATATATTTTTTTACTATACAACATACATTAGTGATGTGCACACTAACTTTAGGGAAGGGCGTATGTCGCACCGCCCCCATGCCCCTGCCCCAACGCATAACAAAAAATAAAAATAATTAAATCTTTATTACAATAACTAAATGTTAACAAGTAAAAATAATATTTTATTACTATTCAACATATATTATTGATGTACACATTGACTTTAAATAAAGGAAGTCTAATGCACCACCTCTCCTTCCCCCCTCCCCAAATGTATTGTTAAAAAGAAAAAATAATCTTTTATAACTATACAACATACATTAGTATTGAAAATATTGTTGTATTACATGAAGCAATATTTTTTTTCTATAGAACATACATTAGTGATGTACAATTTGAGGAGAGGGATGGTTTTCCCCCTTCCCCTCAACCAACGTAAAAAAGAAAACACATAGAAATGATATTTTCAACATTTTCGCATGCAATTATTAAAAAAAGAAAGCACAATACAGAATTGTTTTACCAGATTGCACGAGTATACATTTTCTCATTTAAATAATCATATTTAACCAACCAACCTTATAAAAAACAAACAAACAAAAAAACAAATGTTTCGAAACATAGTAATTAATTTATGTCTTGGCTTTTAGTAAATGATTTAAATTAAGTTCCAATGCAACTAAATAAATCATTTTTAACAATAGACACCACGTGAAGGTAAGCCAGAGCCGCCTATCTTTTTTTTTTGCAAGCCACAAAACTTGCTATACCTATTTGCAAGCCACAAAACTTGCGGTACTTATTTGCAAGCCACAAAACTTGCGGTACACATTTGCAAGCCACAAAACTTGCTGTACCTATTTGCAAGCCACAAAACTTACTGTATCTATTTGCAAGCCACAAAACTTGCGGTACTTATTTGCAAGCCATAAAACTTGCGGTACTTATTTGCAAGCCACAAAACTTGCTGTACCTATTTGCAAGCCACAAAACTTGCTGTACCTATTTACAAGCCATAAAACTTGCGGTACACATTTGCAAGCCACAAAACTTGCTGTATCTATTTGCAAGCTACAAAACTTGCTGTACCTATTTGCAAGCCACAAAACTTGACTTAATTATTATACTAACTATTTTAAAATAAAATTACAAAGTTGTAACAAAAAATCAATATAGCAAATAACAAGAAATGTATATACATATTAAATGTAATAGTTTATTAAATTACTAGTTGCAAAAGATGACTAAGGAACTAAAGTTAAACATATTATAAAGTTTGCACATTAAAAACTAATAGTTGTTTAACTTACCAGGTGTAGCACAAGAGGTAGATACTAAAATACAAATCAATATTACAAATAACGAGAAATGCATACACATATTAAATTTATTATTTTTTTAAATTACTAGTTGCAGCAGCTGACTAAGGAACTAAAGTTAAACATATTGTAAAGTTTGCAAATTAAAAATTAAGAGTTATCCCAGTAAGCACAAGACGCATTTTAGACACTTATAGACGTCTAAAACTAGTCTAGGTAAAGACGCACTTTTATAGACGTTTTGAAGACATCTTTCAGACGTCTTTTATGAATGCGTTTTAAAAATGACGTTTAAATGGCGTCTTTTTAAAAGATAAAAAGACGTCTAGAAGACGTCAATTTTTAAGACATCTTCTAGACGTCTTTTATGAAGGCGTTTTTAAAATGACGTTTAAAATGCGTCTTTTTAAAGTTTAAAAAGACGTTTAAAAGACGCATAATAAATAGTCTAAAAGACGCATTAAAAGACGTCTAGATCAAGGCTAAAAGAGATCTTTTCTGAGACCTGTTTATAAATATGTCATTATGACTTCTTTTTGACGGCTTTGTCATTACGCGTTAAGTAAATGTCGTATATTCAAAGTAAAAACATAGTTTTTATTATTTTCAATAATTTGTTCAAGTTTTAAGTGTAAATTACTTTAAATTAAATTACTTTTTTACACAATTGCTAAAATTGTTGTCACAGGAATCACTAAAATAATTGCTATAATAATAATATATCTTTTTTTTATTAATAATTATTTTGCTTTTTTAATAGATAGTTGACTGATCATGATAATAAGTGAAAATGGCAAGAATAATATATAAGTTAAATATCAGTTTTTATACACCCACAAGCCATATAATAAGTCAAGTATGCGGTCAAAAATTAGCTGGTAACACGTGTGTTAAATTTATCATAACGATAGGTAAGTTATAAATGTATTAAATACTGTTTTGATATATAATTGTTATTGTTATTTATTATTTTCATCTTTGATGCATCAACCGTTGGTGGTGATAACAGCAATATTATTTTGATTGCTGGTTCCTATGTATATAATGTATATACGAAATTATAACAATATATGATGTTATAAATACAATGAATATATACCACATACTACGCGAAAATGTTACGTCATGTACTAAAATTTTTTTTTGAAAAAACGTCTAAAACGCGTTTTTAAAAAGACGTCTTCATTTAGACGTCTTTTAGCCTTATGATCTAGACGTCTACAAGTGCGCCTTTTAGACCTCCTTAAAGACATCTTTAAAACGTCTTTTAACGTCTTTGTGCTTACTGGGATGTAACTTACCAGGTGTAGTACAAGAGGTAGATACTAAAATTAAAAAATTAATATTGCAGCAAATGGGAAATCCATACACGACAAGTAATAAATAAATAAGTAAGAAATACATATTTATGTATATTTCTTTAATGGTTAATTGAAGTTATGCTATAATAACTTACCAGCTGTAGTCTGTGCAAATTGGCCTAAAGATAACAAAAAAGTTAAATAATCAAAAAAAAAAAAAATATCTTGAAATTGTCAACAGTCAATAAAAATAACAGTTATCAAATCAGTTCTGCTTTACGTACAACAACCTATGTAACTAAAAAAAAAGCAATAAAAAAAATAATAAAAAACATAAATTATATTACTGTATTTTAAAATTATATTACTGTATATTAGAAAAACACTAACAAGATACTTTTATAAAAATAAACATATTATTGTAAAAGTATCTTTGTAATTTTACAAAAACAAGCTTATTAATAATAAGCTTATTCATATAAAAATATCAATAATAATAATATTTTAAAATATCAATAATAATATTATTCTTAAAATATCAATAAAATCATAATATTATTCTAAAAAAATAATAATTTTATTCTAAAATTATCATTAATAATATTATTCTAAAAATATTTTGTCAAAAACTGTATTGGCTTAAGCCAATAAAGTTTTACTTTAAAGTATAATAATGTCATTTGTATATTTTTATATATATGGTGTATTAACAACATTGGCATCTGATACTATTAGTTAATAAAATATTCCAAAGTAACTGTTTAATCTTAAATCCTAATCTTTTTTAATATATACTATCATTGGTATAACTTATACCAAAGATTAAGGTTTTTAAACTTATACTATAAGTTTAAAAACCTTAATCTTTGTTTACATATCATGATGATATGTAAACAAAGATTAATGTTTTAAAACTTATAACTTTTTTAAATAACAAAACAATAATGATAAGTTTAAAAACCTTAATCTTTGTTTACATCATGATAATGTAAACAAACTTTGTTATTATCATGAAAAAGAAATTAACTTACTTTTTGAAGTCTGTTTTGTAATGACTTTTACCATTTTTTATTTATTAAAATAATCTAATATTAAAAATTAAATAATACAATGTAGTAAGAATTTTTTTGTTTACCATTCGCCACCCCCCTATCCTCCCCGTATTTCTCTTACCGATAAAACAAAAACAAAAACAAAAAAAACCGAATTTAGGTACCAAAAGTCCTACACTTCTTATACTATCTGCTCCCTAATATTTTTGGCTGAAATTTGGCATGTACAAAGAAAATGCATGCAAAAAAGTTCCTGAATAACAAAAAAAGCGGAAACTTTATTCCTTCGATAAGAACTTAATGTGAGAACATCAACGAAATTTTCATGAAAGTTTTTAGCAAAACTAACCATAAAAAAGTTTAGTGGTTATAAATAAAAGTACTATAAAAATCAAGCCTAACCTTTCTTCTTTCCAAATATACTTTTTGTTTATATATGTTTTTAAAAAAAAACACCACTAAAAACGTTAGTCTAACCCTACTTCAAAAAAGCAGTATATTTAAAAAAGCACCTCGTTACATATCTGCTCCCTAATATTTTTCGTTGAAATTTGGCACATAAATAGAAAATACATGTATAAAGGTGGCTGAACAATCAAAAAAGCGGAAACTTCATGCCTTCGACTACAAATTTATGTGAAAACATCAACTAAATATTCAGGAGCAAAATAATCCGTTAAAAAGTTTAGTAACCATACATAAAAGTTTAAAAAAAATAAAGATCAGCTTCTCTTCTTTCCAAAAAGTATCTATGTGTATATATGTTTCTAAAAAGAAACTCCACAAAACTACGTCTACCCCACGCTGCCTAAAAAAAAGTGAAAAAAACGAGTCACAAGATTTTATCACAAAAATCGGTTCAGTAAATGACGTAAATGCGCGTACCTATTTATATATATATATATATATATAATATATATATATATATATATATATATATATATATATATATATATATATATATATATATATATATATATATATATATATATATATATATATGTATATATATATATGTATGTATATATATATATATATATATATATATATATATATATATATATATATATATATATATATATATATATATATATATATATATCCTTATAGTGTAGTTGAAAGAGACTTTTATGGTAAAAAAAGTCTCTTTCAACTACAATTTTTATTACCTCATCTCTTAAGCTGTATTTGATTGTCATCGAAATGTCAAAGCAATTAAATTAATGCAAAAGTACATTAAATTTTATTGTTTTTTGAAAAAACTGCAATAATGAGTAGAAAGTTTTTTTTAATTAGTGCTGTTTTTGTTTTTGTTTTATTAAAAACTTTTTTAAAACATGCGTAAGTGTTGCTACATCAACTATTTTATAGCCTGCTGCTACAAGGGAGTGTTGCTACATCGACTATCATATAGCCTGACTCGCAACGGAGTGCTGCTACATAGACTAACAAATAGCTTGACTCGCAAGGGAGTGCTGCTACATCGACTGATAAATAGCCTGACTCGCAACGGAGTGCTGCTACATCGACTGAGGGTTTGGTTTGGGCAGGCAGTCTATCATTTAAAAAAAAAAAATTATTTTTGAAGTTTTTTAACATTTTATGGTCAGGCTTATTAACGCGCTCTTTAAAACAACAGTTTATGGGAAAAACTTTGTGACTACCATGCAAGACTATATATATATATATATATATATATATATATATATATGTATATATATATATATATATATATATATATATATATATATATATATATATATATATATATATATATATATATATATATATATATATTATTGACCTTCACACACATGCACATAAATTTATTACAAAATAATAATTTTGCAATAAAAAAGTTTTTTTTATAATGTCTTTTATTTTATATAGCATTTTATTTAATGCAATAGTTTAATGCAATGTTATAGGTAATAAACAAATCAATAAGTTAAACTTGATATGCTACATCACGTTATGTTAAGAGTAGTTAAACAAGATTAAAGTAAAATTCACACAATAAGTAATGCTGCAAATAGTAAAAATTGTATAAATGCGACTTTGAAAATGCAATAAACTTTAGTGAGGATTGATGTTGGACATTAGCCTTGGAGAATAAAACTGATATAGAAAATTTATATCAGATATATTGAAATCTTTCAACACATTTCACAACTCCTACTTCTAAAATTTAAAGCTTATAGAATAAATGACTAACTCTACAATTGGATTTTGATGTTACCTAAGAGATCGGCATTAGAGTATCATTGTTGGTGGTACATACTCAGAATGGATAATAGTAAATAGTAGGGTCCCTGATTATTAACTTTGAAGATATATAATAAAGATTTTTCTGATTTGGTTTTAGATGTTGTATCTGTATTTACAGATGATACTAAGTTATACAGTTTGCTTTTTGATAGCTCACCATGCAATAACCTGCAATAAAGTATGGACATTATAGCAAACTTGGCAAAACTATGAAAACTAAGTTTTAATGTAAAAAAATGTAAAGTTATACCCTTAGGACTAACAAATACAAAATTCATTTATATACTTTTTGATAAAAATCTCAAACTTCAATTAATATTCAAAATTCTCTCGTCAATAAAGGGATCTTCATTGACAGTAATTTGACTTTTATTTTGTAAGTACTTAGAATAACACCGCTAATAAAGTTGTGGGAATGATCAAAAGATCATTTGTCAATCTCAATATTTTGACATTTCGTACTTTGTTTATTTTCCTTGTTTGTCCTCACCTTGATTCTTGCAGCTCTGTCTACTATCCTAGACTTTAAAAAGATCAACAATTAATTTAAAATGTTCTATGCTAGTCTAGTAAATTTGTTTTTGGCCAGACTGGACTGACTTACAACCAAAGACTACTGAGACTAAATTTAACTAGCATGAGCTATCGTTTCTTATGTTATGACATGGCAGAAACTTACAAATGCATTCACAATCTTTATAATTGTAGTTGCAACCCTTTTGTTTCCTCATAAAATACCATTCAGTATTTTATCTATCAACACCTGTGTCAGAATGATGTCATCTGCACAGCCATTATATTTATTATTGTAATTACAGACCATTAAGTAGTTAATCTAAATTGTAATAGGATGCGTGTTATTATGGCCACTTCTTAATATTAATATATGATTATATATTTAGTTAGTATTTATTAACATGCGATCATGCTTATAAATTGAAAATAATGTTTTGTAAGACAGATGTCCAGAAAAAACTTTTCTAATATGGAATTCACAAATTTGTAGAATAGTCTACCATCTGAATAGTGTTGCTACCATCTGAAATAGTGTTCAACATCTGTCAAGACATTAAAAAAACATCTAGAGGCATCTTGGGTTCATCAAATGTACAGTTGCAAAATGGTAAATAATTACGTAGAGCCTCAAGTTGTTTATCTTCCTTAATGTCATATTTAAATAAGAAAATTTTATTATAGAAACCTTTCCAAACCGCGCAAACTTTTTTTACTAACCAATAATTAAACTCTACTTGCAATAAAAGCGATTACATTAAACATTAAGAAATGAATCTCAATAGTTTTTAGACGTTTTAATATTTTCAGTTAAAAAAAAAATAATTATCTCAAAAAAAAAAGTTAATCTGAAGTTTTTTTATATCAAATGTTTATAGTAAATGTTGATTGTTTAGTATGGTTTCATCTCTTCTTTATACTTTTTTTTGACAGTTATGAGACTGCTTTAGAATGGAATTATCTGTGCCTCCAGCTTAAAAGGATGCAGGTTACAAAAAAAGTGACACTGAGAGACATTGTCTCTCAGTTTCTCAAAGATTGAAGAAATCTTTAGTGTTTTAGGGTTAAGTGATTCCATTAGAGCTTTGCTTGACTATCTCTTTCGATTTATTGGATTTATTTTCCGGTTATAGATGAAAAAAGATCTTTTAAACCTAGAAGAAGAATTATGGAACTAAGACACCTTATGAATCAATAGTATATATCAGTGAATTGATATTAGTTAATAGTATTTGGAAACAGTACCATGTACTATTAAAGTTTCTAATTTTTAAAATATATGATACATTTATATGAAACATACAAACAAATGATACAATATGATACGTGATTGACTATAATTATGTTGTATATGAGAATGTTTTATATAAATGCTTATTACATTTTATTGTGATTTTTATCTTTTATGCCCAGTTAACAATGTATTTTGTGTAGCAATGACTACTAATCTCAGATATCTTTGACATCTGTAGGGTGTATTCACCGCTACAGATGTCATAATCTTTTTATAACCAATTGCTTTTATTCTTCCATAATGTCATATTTTAATAAGA